CTCAGTGATATCTTGTCTCTAAATAAAATACAAAATAGGGCTGGGGACATGGCTCAGTGGTCAAGTGATATAAAATAGGACTGGGATGTGGCTTATGGTCGAGTGTCCCTTAGTTCAATCCCTGGTACCACCCCCCCCCCCCCCCCCCCCGCCAAATTTAAAAGAGCTAAGGATGTAGCTCTGTGGTAAAGTACCCTCAGGTTCAATTTCCAGTATCACCTCCACACACACAAAAGAGATAGGGTTTAATTTTTACTCAATGCATATATAAAACATCAATTTATAGAAAAAAATTAACACTTATAATTTCCTTTTAGAATACTTAGCCCTTAAAATTGTATTTCTATAGTATCATATGCATATTTCTTTTCTATTACATACTTATAATGCATAAAATGTTGATTTCTAGATTTATAGTTGGAAAGTATCTTCTCCCAGACTGTGTCTGATCTTTTCACTTTCTAAAAATAAACTTTGAATATTAGTTTCACCTTTAATGGGGAAGAATTTACAAATATCTTCATGTGTGCACATGCACACACATATATGGTATTTTAAAACTCTCATGTTACCTCAAAGTAACAAATTTTACTATATTCTAACATTTCTGAAGGCTTACTTTCCACATTTACATCTTTATGCACTTGAAATAAATTTTTATGTGTGAGGTGAATTATAAATCCAATCCTCCTATCTGGACATCCAACAATAACAGCATCATTCTTTGAAAAGTTGATTTTCTCTAGTTAATCTGCAATGCTATCCCGATTCTTAATCAAATTGTTCTGTGCTCAGGATTTTAAATGGAACCTTTTTTTTTTAATTTCCATGGATCAGTTTGTCTATTCCTGTGTCAGTGTTATTTTGATTTCTGCTTTAAAACATTGATTATGCAAAAGATTTATTGCAAGGAGGCCTAAAAATGTTTTAAAGCATTAATAACAATATAAGCTTTAAAAAGTCAAACTTGAATAATACTTCAGAAACTGTTTAATAAACGCGTAAAACAACATTTACTTTATGATCATAGGGTGTGACATCTACTTCTCATGTTGAAAGTTCTGATCATTTTATAACACCAGCTGATACATTTAAGTGCAACGAATGAACAGATGAACCATGATCATTGTGTGCAAACATTCTGGCATGTTTGTTAGAATTAACTTCATTACTCAAGAATTGTACTTAATGTAGACAGGTAGGGCACAGGTGGAAGAAGTAGGTGTGCTTTTGGAGACTGGGTTATATCTTGTCCTGGCTCCTTGCTCTCTCCATCTCTCTCTAGTTCCTGGCTGTCATGAGCTGGGCAGCTCTTCTCCATCATAGCCTTCCTCCAGATCTTCTGCCTCACCTCAGGCCCAAAGCAATGGCATTAGCCAACCATGAACTGAAATTTCTGAAACTGTGGGTCAAAATAATACTTTCCTTCTCCAAGTTGTTTGTGTTAGGCATTTTGGTCACAGTAGCAGAAAGCTAACAAATGTGTATGTACGTAACTCATGCCTGATTGTACATATGTGAGAATGTTATGTATTTTTACAAATTCCTTTTAAATCCAGGAAGAATTGAATGGGACAACTGAAATCCCTGAAATCTGTCTACTCTAACACAGATAGATATTTGTTAGAAAAAGAAGAAAAAGAAAGAATAAAACAACTTAAAAAAAAAAAAAAACAATTATACTTAAGATTATTAACTCTCAGGACAAAGGCACAGAAGCCAAGAATTTTCCTTGTCCAAAACTCAGAGCTTTTAGGAATGGCCTCAATAATGGCTTTATTCTTTTTGTCCTGGCAATTCACTTTTGCTCCAGAAAGAGATTCTTTCCCCTACATTCTTGAATGTGCATAGGTGTATGTATACTTTGCCTGAGTGTGTGTGTGTGTGTGTGTGTGTGTGCACATGTATGTGCGTGTGCACACTGAGGATGGAGGGAGAAGGAGTAACTGCATTTTTCACTCTCTATTGTTTTCCTGTTCAAGTTTTTCAAAATATGCACATAGACCTGAGCATCTGTATTGAGAGACCTAGTGTCTGTCCTCAGCAGAGAGCAGGGCTCTTATTGCAGCAGGAAGGCCTGCTCCCTGATAAGAAGGAGAAAGGAAATGAAAAGATGTAATAGAACCTCGCCTTGAGGCAAGTTCAGGCTGCTGTTGAGGACCTTTAAAACATATTTATGGCAAACTGGCCTCTCATTTTGAATTTATAGGAAGTTGATTGTACAAAAGTCAGCTGGAAAAGAAGCAGCAGGAAATGCGCCTTGTTCTATGGGAATTTCGCTTTAGAGAGGAGGATGGGAGTGCCCTGTCTAATTCACAAAGCTAGCCCCGAATACACCATTATGATTTCAAGGTAAGAATCCAAACACATTTTTTTTTTTTGGCCAAGATTCAAAAGAGAGAGGAAAGCAGATTTCCACAAAGACCATGAGCACAGCACCCAAGACTGACAGGCTCCTTGAACCCACTGAGACTGGAACGGTGTACTTTAAAAGTCTTTCTGAGAACACACTCAGTCCCTAAAGTAAATAAAACTCTTATTTGAATTACAATCTATTTTTGGAAATTTGTATCGCTCTCTGTCTCTCTGAACTTTGAGTATTTGTAATTTTCTTTTATGAAAACTATAAATTTTCAAGTTAACAACAAAACTATGTTAAGAAAATAAAAATGTACCATGTAAAACTCCCTCAAAGGGAATCATGGATACCAGGGCTTCCTGCTCAAGAAAGATAAATTCATAATGATGATATCTAATATCTTAAAATATTTTACTGGGTACAAGCAGTGGCATGTACTATTATTTGTAAACTCTGAAACCCCATGAGATAAAGTAAGAGTATCTTTCCCATTCGACAGATAAGAAAACTGAGGCTTAGATATATTAAGGAACTTGCCTAAGGTTGCACTTCTAGTGAGTGATGGGGATGGATCTGCAATTAGGTGTGACTTGATTTCAAAGCCACACCATTTTTAAAAGCAATTTGGATATAAGCACCAAAGAGTAGCTGAGGTAACCGGATAATGACCCCCCTTCCAATATGCGTCCACTTCCTTTCTTCTTTTCAGTGCTGGGGATTGAACCCAGGTCTTTGGGCAGGCTAGGCAAGCGCTCTACCACTAAGCTACACGACCAGCCCTAGATATCTACTTTCTAATTTTCAGAATATGTGAAACTAATACCTGCGTGCAAAAGGCACTTTGGGTATGTGATTAAATTAAGAATTCTGAGATAAAAGGATTAGCCTGGATTATTTGGGCCGAGTGTAATTACAGGGTCCTTTAACACAAACAAGGAAGCACAAACATGAGAGTCAGAGAAAGAGGCTGATCGGATGCCAAGGTCACAGTGATGTGATGGAGGAAGGAGGCCATGAGCCATGGAACCTGGGTAACATCCAGAAACCGGAAAAGGCAAGAAACGGATTCTTCTATGGAGGCTCCAGAAGGATGACATGGGCCTACCAACACCTTCCTTTGGCCACCTAAGATCCATTCTGGATTTCTGATCTACAGAACTAAAAAAAATATTAGTATTCATTATGATGAAATAGAAACACATATTATAGCCAAAGAGTGACGATATGCTCCTGAGTGATTCATAATCAGATTTAATGTTTAGAAATACAAGTACTTAGCAAATCCTTGTTGGATTGAATGACAGGGTCTAGTGTAAACCCCAAACATAAAGCTGGGTATGGTGGCACACACCTGTATCCCAGGAGGTTTAGGCAGAAGTAGTGCAAGTTCAAGGCCAGCCTGAGCAACATAGTGAGACCCTATCTCAAAATGAAAGTTAATAAAAAAAAGGTGGGGGTGGGTAGGGAATATCCCAGGTTTCAATCCTAGTATTACCCCAAATGAACCAAATACCCCCAACACACACACACACACACACACAAAAAAAAAAAAAAAAAAACATGAGACAAAAGAAACATAAACATATTATGGGTTTGTGAAGACTTAATGCAAGTGTCCTCCTAAACTGAGAATGATGTTGGAAAGCTCTCTGCCAAGCAGTCAAAGCCCTAGTTTTCAACTATCCCCAACAATTTCCGCTTTATTTACAATGAGGCCATTCATCAATGGGAATAGACTTCCTAAGAGGAACTCTGGTGACAATGTAATGTAATGCCAATCTTGGAAAGGCTGCATTCAACATAATTTTAACTGTGCACATCCTGAAAGCCTGCTCTAAACTCTTGGTTAGTGGCAGGGAGTTCACAGGTCATGCCTCAGGTTCCTGTTCCCCATAGGCTATCTGCTGGGGAACAGCCAGACCTCAAAGAGTAGCAGGGCCACTTGCCATGAACACTCATCCACTTCTTCCACAAATATTTACTGAGCAATTATTATGTGAGTGAACAAGACAAACAAGGTTCCTGTCCTCATAGAGGTTTGTAGAATAGGCAAACCAGTCACTATCGTGTTAATGCTGTGACAGAGGAAGACAGTGTTAGGTCAAATCTAGTCTGGAGATGGTTAAACAGTAAGTCTTGAAGGGAAGGTTAAAAAATGGTTTTGAAAATGGCTTAGAAATGATTAAAAAAACAGGTAAGATCTTTTTATACAATGTAACTTTAAAGAAAAGACAAAGTTTAAAGTCATGTGAAAATATGATGGCATGGGCATAACAGTATGATTTTATTTTATTGGTACTAGGGATGGAACCCAGGGATGCTTTACCATTGAGCTATTTCCCCAGACCTTTTTCTTTTGTTTTATTTTGAGACAGGGTCTCACTAAGTTACTGGGTTTTATGGTTTAGAAATGAGGTATTCCCCAGAAGCTCATGTGTGAGAAAATGCAAGGAAGCTTAGAGGTGAAATGATTGGGTTATGAGAATCTTAATCCCCTGGAAGGGATAAACTGGATGGTAACTGTAGGCAGGTAGGGTGGGGCTGGAAGAGGTGGGTCTGTAGGGGGCAAGCCTTTGGGATATATATTTTGTCCTTGTTGAGCAGAGCTCTCTGTTTCCTGGTGCCACGTCTCCAGCTGCTTTCCTCCACTACATACTTCCGCCATGATGTTCTTAGGACCTGAGGAATAGAGCTGTCCATCTGTATACTGAGACCTATGCAACTGTGAGTTCCAAATAATCTTTTCCTCTTATATAATTGTCAGGTCTTTGGTCACAGCAGTGAAAAAGCTGACTGAAAACACTGAGGATCTCACGAAGTTGCTGAGGCTGACCTTAAACTTGCTGTCCTCCTGCCTCAGCCTCCCCGGAATCACAGGGATATGCTACCAAGCTCGCCCCTAGGATGATTATTTTACAGAGCAGAACATTTCTGAAAGATAAACCAAGAGTCATTTTCTGCTTCAAGCCACTCAATGGTGTCCTTGTGCGATAGGATAATGTCCTATTCCCTTGAAGTGGCCCATGAGGGCCTTTGCGATTTGGCCCCTGCTTTCCTCCCTAACCCACCTTCATCTTCTCTCTGTGGCACCCTCCTGCTCCCACCCTTCTCTTGATTAGCTCACCTCTGTCCTTCAAGTAGGAACTGATTTAGCCTCCACTGCCTCCAGAAGTCATTTCTGATGCCATGTCTGGGTGAAAGACTCCTCTCTGTATGCGTATAGCTCCCTTTTGTGTCCCTCCTACAGGCATTTACCACTGTGTGCACTAACTGCTTATCGAATTTCTCTTTTGAATTGTGATATTCCCATAGCATGGAGTCTGTGAAGGCTAGCTCCATGTTGTCTTGGTCACTGGGAATTTAAATGCCTTCATGGGCTGGGGAAATGGAACCACTTTGGGAGGGAAAAGCAAGGAACAAATACAGCTATGGTCCTCTGCGTGGATCCTACAGATACCAGCCTGCTGGGCTGCACCGAGCTACTACAGAGGAGTAAGACCAGGTGGATCTAGAGGGTAGCACCTAAGCATCTGCCTCTAGGGTCATGCAGCTCTTACTGCCCATGTGACTAGGGCAGCTGATATAATGCATCAGAGCTGCAAGGGAGTGCATGAACTAAATGCTTGGGTCCTCCCAAACTCCTATTTTGAAACCTTCACCCTGCCATACTGTGACCCAAGGCAAGTCACCAGCCTCTCACTTGACTTTGGCTTCCTCATCAGTATCTCCATCCCCGGGGGTTCTTCTGAAGCTTACATTAGATGACCCACATAAGACCACACACTGAAAATTCTGAGAACTGGTAGCAATTTGTTGTGTTTAAAAACTCAGGACCTCACACCACCATTTTGTTTTTCAGAAAACTATGCCTTAGAAACTATGTCTGTTCCCAGAAGCCTTGTGGGAGACGCCAGAAGTTTCAGAGATGCTTGTTCATGTGCCTGTTCTGCTTCCATTTCTAAGTCTCTGTGTTCATACTGGGCCTTTGTGCATTATGCCCTTCTAAGGCCCACTTGTAAAACTGCAGGATGCTGATTTCCTTACACATAATATAATTCTCACAATGGATATTTAAAATTTATGGCCAAATCTCCCACATGAAGGTGGTCTGGCAGGCATAATTTTTTCCTTCTGTACATAAATGACTATTAACTTGTTGGCGTTTTGCAGACAGGTTTTGATGAACTATGATATTTTGCTTAAAATCATTCCAAGAATAATGTCAGACTTCATAATTGCCTTACCCAAGGCCACCAGCAAGCAAAAGTCACCTACGGTGCACAGCTTATGTTAAAAGGAACCAACTACAACCACAGACGGCGCTAGGAATGAAAGAGTGTGGGGCAGATGTCTCCTTTTCTGCAAGGTTTTGGGAATGGACTTAGAAGTAGCAGAGATTAGACTATAAATATCTAAAGTCACTTTCTGGTAGCATATAAATGTGCCTTTTGTGGGCTCTTTCAGATTTCAAAACAAAAAACAAAAAAACTTGGCAGATGGTTTGACATGAAAACAAAGTAATAATCAAAATTTAGTTACAGTGACAATAAAAATATCCCAGTTTGTAGTTAAGGGCTGTTTGGAACAAATGTTCATAAATGCTAGACTATGTTAAAGTGTTCCCTCATTCAGAACCAAATTAGGCATATTGTTAACATTTATACTTGTAAAGACAAATGTATGTACATCAGGGTTAGACTGCCAATGAGATTTACTAAGGAAAACTTGTCGATCATTCTGAGATTATGTCCTTTCATTGGCATTGATGTTGAAATGTCTTTTTTAAATGTAATGATTTCTCTAGTAGATGATAGTTGTCAATTTGTAGAAAGTCTAAAAATTGTCAGCCTCTAAATTGTTTTTGAAATGTTAATGCTACATTAAATTTAAAAGCCTCAGAACCAAAAATTGACTGTTCTATTTTTCAGGCCACTGATCTACCCTCCTATCCACTGGCCTCACAAAGGACAGTGTATGGGACAGGTTAGGAGGCAAAACCTCAGATATGTTCTCAGACATAATCTCAGTGCAAACAAACAGGTTTGCTGGACAGCTACACTCACCACCTAGAAACCCATGAGGAGAGTTATACAATTATTTTCTGTTCAAGAATCATGAAAAAGCCAGGTGCAGTGGCACATGCCTATAATCCCACAGACTTGAGAGGCTGAGGCAGGAGGATTGAAAGTTCAAAGCCAGCCTCAGCAACTTAGTGAGGCCCTAAGCAACTTAGTGAGACCTTGTTTCAAAAAAATATATATAAAAAAGGCTGAGGATGTGGCTCAGTGGTTAAGTATCCCTGGTACCAAAATAAGTAAATAAATAAATAAAATCATGAAAAAGAAATGGGGGTGGGGGTGGGGGGAAATTAAAAATCAGGTCTATTATGGAATGCATAATTCTATCAGGAACTTCAAAACTTTCTGATACTTCATGCTATTTGATACCATTACAAACGAATACATTCTAACACATATTCAACAGAGAATGCCTCTCGGCCATGCAACCAACCTTGGGTAAATTTGCTTTTCTTAGATGGGTTTTCTGTCCTCATCTAGGAAATGCGTGTTGGACTCGGTCGCTAACATACCTCCCAACACTAACATTACACACTTACTGGCTACTTTAGCTGACAAGAAATACTTTGCTCCCTAGCATAGCTTGTTAAGTGGGAAGATCTGAGTGGAAGTGAGTGAATAGAGTGGCTTGCTAGCATTGCATAAGGTGCTGTAGGCACCACATTGAAGAAAGCCCCTCATTCCTTTCCAATGATTAAATCAGGGGCCTCCAACTCAAGTGTCTGCTAGGCCAGGCAGGTGTTGACCTTGAGTGAAGCAGTTGCAGGGCCTCCAGGCAAACTGACCTACTCTTGGGCAGGAAAAGGCCCTGGGCCTTGAGCCCCAGGCCCATGGGGTGAGCAGGAAGCCCCACAGTTGCCACATCTCTCTCCTTTTAGGAGAAACAAAAATTTGACCTTTTAGTTGTATAATCTTTAGAATTTTAGCAGATGCCTATGTGTAAATTTTTTCAACCTGGTGGCTACATAAAGATCACAGTGGGCAGGTGGACAGGCTGCTTGTTTGCAATTTCTGAGATGACAAGCAAGACTCTTGCCAAGTAGCCCTGATGTATTTTTTCCCATTATCTTCTTGGAACCAGCAATCTAGTCCATCACTCTGAAGACGGGCATGGAGCATGGGCTTTGAAGATAGATTTTTCTTTTCTTTCTCTTCTTCTTCCTCTTCTTTGTCTCTCTTGTCTTCCTCTTCCTCCTCTGGTACTTAGGATCAAATTCAGGGGCACTTTATCACCAGCCCTTTTAAAAACTTCTATGTTTTGAGATAGGGTCTTGCTTAGGTGCCCAGGCTGGCCTCAAACTTGTGATCCTCCTGCCTCAGCCTCCCTACTCACCAGAATAACAAGCCTATGCTACCATGCCCAGTTCAGATGGCTCTCAATATAAGTTCCAATTTGGCCATTTGCTACCTTTGAAAGATACTTAACTTTTTTTTTGAACCGGGGATTAAACACTAAGCCACATCTGCAGTCCTTTTTATATTTTATTTAGAGAAAAGGTCTCACAAAGTTGCTTGGGGCCTTAAGTTACTGAGGCTGGCTTTGAACTTGTGATCCTCTTGCCTCAGCCTCCTGAGCAACTGGGATTACAGGTGTGCGCCACCTCACCTGGTGATATTTAACTATTTGGAACCTCCAGTTCCCCAGATTTAAAATAAAGTTAATTTCCCTCTTTTCTCTGCTCTTTCCAGGCTGGAAGCATCTTGGACCTATCTTTGTCCTCTGCCTCCACTGTCCCCTGCTCCACGCCCAGAGGATTCATGGCAGATTTAAGGCCCCACTCAAATTCCCCTCCTGCATGTGGCCCTTCCAGACCACCTCTACTAGGAGTGACTTCTCTGCTTTATCCTCCATAAGCATTTATTTTTTTGCCACCACCCAAAATATTTCTGTCTGTTCATTCCTTGTGTCCTTCAGGATTTCAAAGAATGTGTTGAAAACCACCAATTCCCATTGTCAAGTCAACATGAGTTAGAGTGAAATTATACTCTCAGAAATTTTCTACATTTCAAATTTTGATGGATCCTAAGCATCAGTCCCCACATAAGATCATATGATTCCCCTGTAGCCATATAAAGCTTCCACGTAGGATAATTTAGAAACTTGGAAAAGGGCGTATCTTTGATGGTTACCTTCTAAGTATCAACTATTTCAAGACCCATTTCAATAGCTACCACCAGGAATCCCTTTAACTCTTTGGGTTAAATAACAACAACTCTATCAATAATTAAGAGCATCTAGCATGTAATATCATAGCTGCTTCCTCTTGTACCCAAAGTGTGGTCCCAGCTCTAAGCTGCTAATAAGATCCTGCTCTAATCCGGCTTTGGGCTGTGTCCAAACTCAGTGGTGAGATGCTTTGGATTCACTAAGGTACACAAGCCTCAGGAGTGTTTCTTGTCAAAGCCTTGCCTTCGTGATAAACCATGCTCTCTGAGCAGATAAGTAATGCCTTTCTGCAGCAATCCATTTTAATATCTGTCGGGCATAGGTTTCTCTGGAGATTTATTTGCACTAAGTTCCCATGATGTCACCTAGAGGTGGTGATCTGGAAACAGAATGAGAGAGAAGTGTTTGGGGGAATTATCCTGATAAATGATTGATCAAAGACAGCCTTTCTTACTTGGGATACAGGATCAACCCCCAACTGTTCCAAACCTTTTGAAGCTCATAAAATCCAGCCATATGAAGGGGCCGATGTGTATGATGTACCTGAAGTCCAGAAGGAACACACAGTATCCCCAGTAAAAAACATCCTCTGTGTGCTTAGAGGGAACGGTCTGTGAAGCTTTGAAATCTTTTGTTATGTGGCCAGAAAATTGTTTGAAGAACCAGGTGAATGTTGTCTGGCTGGACAGTCACTCACCAAGCCAGGCAAAGAGCGGAGGAAGCCCTGTCACTGGTGGCTTTCAAAGAGGTCTAAGGGTTACAGTCATGTCATCAGACCACACTCCTCATCTCTACCAGGCAAGTCCACAATGCCAGGGCAAAGTCTTTATCATTTTCACGCTCTCTTAAGAGAAACACATCCATGATATATTAGTAAATGTCCTTTTGCCTTTAAACTGTGCCCTATTTGATAGGTATTTTTTTCCAGGGTAAAAATAGATGGAGTGGGGATGACAATGTGACTTCTCGAAAGCATTGCAGATCTTTGCAACAGGTGAGAATCACTTCAAAACAGTTAAGCAAATGCATAAACAAAATACTAGAGTTCCACGATTTTTTTTCTTTTGTTTTTTGTTTGTTTTATTTTTATTTAGAGATAGGGTCTTGCTAAGCTGCTGAGGTTGGCTTTGAACTTTTGAACTCGCGATCCTCTAGCCTCAGCCTCCCCAGCCAGAGTCCCAAGTTTTTTAACTTCAAGTTCCACCACATCTTTCTTGGAAAGAAAGGTCAAGATTATTCCCTTCACTTGTGGCTGCAGGTACATCTACTTAATCTCCTGGGCCCGTCAGCAACATACTTAATATCTGGTCATTTCATGTCTTCTCCCCACTCAAGCTACCACCAGGATTCTTCTGTGAAAAGCCCCTTCCCATGACTGAGAGCCAGTTTGAACAAGGGATTGCCAAAGTCCTATCTCATAATGTGGCCAGCCCTGTGAGAATGAGCTCCATTCAGACACAGAAAGAGCAAGAAATAAGAAAAGGGAAATTGAATACTACCAAATTTTGTATTACGGAAATTATAGGGAGTCCAGACTTGTGAAATTTCATCAAGATGAGAACTACATAATTTTTCTTATGAGCCAAAAATAGAGTGTTCAGGAAGCCCTGCCCTGTGAGCAAATCACAGTAAAAGTCAAAGATGGTTAGTAATGTTACAGACACACTCAGGCTGTCATTCATTCAGACACCGGAATGTGATGCGTGGCTGCCAAAGACCTGCCTCAGAGGTAAGAGGGGAGAGACACTGAGAATGAATAGCATCCATCAGCCTATAGAGCTCCTTAACTATGGATCATTAGAGTAAAAGCCAAAGTCCTTAAACAGCCTACCAGGCCCTGGGCGGCCTCACTAGTCCCCTCCCCAGTCTCCTCTGGCTGCCTCCAGCCACTCTGGCTCTTGGCTGTTCTTTGAAGATGCCAAGCTTTTTCTTTTGCCTGGAACAACCTTCTCCCACACATCCACGTGGCTGCCTTCCCTTCCTTTGGTCTCCCACATGGCTACCTCTCCCTTATTTATGGTACTCCATTCACCACCTGATGTTCTTTTTATTCAGCTGCTAGTTTATCATCTCTCTCCTAACAGCAATGTGAAGTTGAGCAGGTTAAAGACTTCTGCTTTGTTTGCTGCTTGATCCCCAGTGGTTAAAATGGTGCATGGCAGAGTATACATCTTTGTTTAATAAATGAAAATGTGAAAAGTGACTAAGGCATCAACATGTGTGGATCATATCCGTTCACTTCCCCTTGGGGAAATGCATTCTGGGGTGAAAGTTAAAGTCTTGCTCTTGGGAAAGAGATGATGGCTGTATGGGAATGATGGTCTTACCCATTCCAAGTCGGAGAACATGGGCCACTTGGTTACCCTACATCTCTCATGGCAGGATCAACAAAATAATTTCCTTCAAGAATGTAGGGCTTGGAGATTTCTCTAGAGCAACACTTATTTACATCTTTTAAAATTGACTGTGCAGAACATATAACACTTTTCTCTTTTGCTGCCAGGAAAATAATACTGCAGTAGGACTATGTCATGGAAAGAGTGTGTGTGTGTGTGTGTGTGTGTGTGTGTGCACACGCAGGAGGCAGTTCTGATTTAAATTACCTGTGATTTTTCACTTGTTAGTTATACTTTACGTTGATATGGCAGTGTATGTGCATTCTCTACCTTTTTAATATGTTGCATGGAATTAGAAGTAATGCCATTTTACTGTTCCCTAAGAGACCTAGACCCTAAAATTGCTTCTGAGACCTCAGAGATAGCAGAAACTCAAAAATAGAACCAAATAATGTTATTGTATTAGGAAAATAACAAAGAGTGATCTCCCAGAGCATGGCCACCTCTCTAGGGTGAAGTGAGAAATTAAAAGAGAAGGATTACCATGGATGGAAGAGGAGGAATATTGCACTCACTAAAAGGCATCCTGGAATCCCCATTACTCTGCTGAGTGCAGCGTTCCTGCTGGCCTCTGTCCAAGGAGGTTTAGTGGGAAAAGTATTAACGCCTGCAAGGTGGTCCCACAGCGAGGTCCCTCAGGACAGAGGTTCCAGTATAGCTGGGGAAAGCAGGAGGAACCGGCCGATTCCAGCACCGTGGAGTCTGCTGCTAAGTGACAAGGCACTATATCATATAACCAACTGTGGCTTTCGCATGGGAGATGGTGGAGGAATGATTGAAACCCATAGGTCCCACAGATGGACAGGGAATGAGTGAGCAGGGCTGTCCTGGGGGAACATAATCTACATACCAGAACAGGCCCAGGTTTGTTTAGGTCTAAGCCATGGCAACACATTTTAGCTTTGCAGTGCTCAGAACAGCTGTACAGCAGGGGCTTCAGCAAGGCGGGCCATGGGGTTCCTAGACTCCCTACTCTGAGCTCTGTTGTATTATATCTTCAAACAGCACCTAAGTGTTAAACCTTCAGTTCATTTCCACAGCACAGCTAAGAAAACAAAGCAACTCCCAGACCTCCCCACAGGGCCGCAGACAGCCTTTCCTCTTACCTCCCCCTCCCAGAGGGAGGCAGTTTTCAGTAGTTTAAAAGGGGGGAAAATCAGCTTGTTAGTTTTAAGGGGAGACAAGCACTGAAGGAATGGACTATGATTTTAAACAAAAACAAAAACAAAAACAACTCTTCTTCAGGACAAGCCAGAGTCATTGTGTGGAATTTGAATAGATGGGTTTCTAATAGCACAGGTCTAGATCCCCCACAGGTGGTTTCATGTTAGATTGGAAGAAATTTAGGAGGCCCTTGTCCCTGAGAGCCTATGGGATCCACAGTTCCTTTGGCAGTTTTGCAAGTGAGAAATAACTTTGGCTAAAAAATTAAGATGTTGAAGTGCCCATTGCTTACCTCCTGCCTGCTTCCCGAGTAGGTCCTGAAGAGGATGTTTTCAAGAGAAAGTCACTAAAACAAAGGGGGAAGACCACTGATTTAGTTGATTTTTATAGAGAAGGAAGGTCTGGCCAGAATATTTGTCAGAAAGGCAAATACACAGGGCCATGAAGTTTATTGTTCAAGGTTAGGAAAATTAACACTACTAATCTGGAATGATGAAAAAGAAAAACAAAACCAAACCCTACCATCTGAGATTTAACCTAATTCCAAACTCACTGGTGGGGCTCATGTTCACTGCTGGTATTTAGGGCTCAGTCAACACCTGGAGCCAGATCTGGCCAATCTGCTCTGCTCTTCACCGGCACTGTAGAACTCCTGGGAAAAATGGTGGAAAATACTTGCATAATTCCCGAGTTGATCAGATTTTTTCTATGATTCTAGTTTTCAGAAACCTAAGCATGATTCTCTGATTTTTAGACACAAGATGGGGAGAGAATATGTTAGTATCTACCTGTTAAGGTAGGAAATCCTCTCAGTGTTTTGTTTCATGATGTCTAAACCAGAGGATCCCTCTGGAAGGTGTGTTCTGTGGATCAGATGCTTCAGTGTCACCCAGAAGCTTGTTACAAATGCTTGTTACACCTCAAGGTGAGAAGCAGTGGTCTAGAGAAAGACGTTTCCCAGGGAGTGGGCCCCATACTGATGGGATCATCTTCACCTGGGAACCTGTCAGAGATGCAGATTTTCATCTTGCTCCAGACCTACTACATCAAAACTCTGACAGTGGGCCAATCTAGTGTTAAGATACCCTCCAGAAGATTCTGAGGTACTCTAAAGTTTGAGAAACATTGGTCTAAAATGTGAAGATGGGAAACACTCAGGATGTTCACCCTAAAGTGTGTTATGTAGAATAGGTATTCTTTGAATAAAGGGGTTCCTGGCCAACTATATTTCAAAACACATAGTTACAACAGTTATTTT